CCCCCCCCCGCTCCTTTCTACCAGGGTTAAGTGTGGAGATGAAGGTGGAACAGAGTCCTCAAATCCTGACGCTACCAGAGGGAAGAAACGCTTCACTGACATGCAATTTTTCTATCTCCATAACTAGAATGCAGTGGTTTCAACAAAATCCCAGAGGCCAGCTCATGTCCCTGTTTTACGCAGCTTCAGGAACACAACAAAAAGGAAGACTGACATGCACAGTAAATACTAGGGAACGTTACAGTCATCTGTACATCCAGGACTCCAAGCCTGAGGACTTGGCTACATACTTCTGCGCCGTAGAAGCACAGTGCTCTTAAGCACCTGCAGCCCATACACAGAACCATAGCCGAGACCTAACCAGCCCCTAGTGTGGGAAGAGGGGCATGATATGATCTCCTAATCATACTATGATTTCTAAATTTCTACAACTCGACACCACAATACAAGCATACACATGGTTTACCTGGAGATCGCTGTGGGAATGGTGTTAGTAGGTAAACTATTTCTATTGATCAAGTGTTTAATATTTGAGTTTATGTTTCTGAATGAAGGACATGGTCAATTAAATAGAAAATCATGTTTACTTGCACTGTAAGAAGGTATCAACTTTGCCTGCATTTTTCTTTCTTCATCTTTCTATAACTTGTATTGATTGATTACAGACAGCTCCCTGACATAGCTCTGAGAATCTCCTTCTAATTCATATAAGTGAGAAAGAAAATTAGCAGGGGGAGGGAAAGTCCATTTAAACCTCAAAACTCATTTTCATCAATGGGAACCACTTATAGCTAACCCTCCAGCAGATTTTCAGAGTGTAGGAGACTGTCAATCTTTCTCCCTTGGACCCACTGGTAGATTAGAGGCTGTTGGGAGGTGCCACCTTTGGGTTAGGCAACTCCCTCAGATTACAATGCCAGACCTCCAATATTAGAATAAAAAATGGGCAGAGCTTTCCATTCACTTCTGTGTTGTGAAAGCACTGTTTCCCCTGCACCTGAAATCTGCCCTCAGACGGATGGCTATAAATCTCCAAGTCAAACAACACAGGAATGTTGGCACACTGTTGCTTTTAACACGGTATTGATAAATGTACACTAGATGATGGCTTCAAAAAAATTGAAATTCTGAGAAACCGTCAGTCTAGTAACTATCTCGTTCTTAAGTGAACCAGTCTTAATTTGAGTCCCAGATCAGGCATTCAGTAAATCAGCGTTCGGAGCCTAGTGGCAGAGTCCCTAGGGGGCTGTGCTGCTAACCCAAAGGTAGCATCTCTCTGGATCTTCAAATCCATCTGTTGTTCCAAGGGAGAAAGGCCATCCATCTCCTCTCCTGAGATTTAGACCCTCTGAAAAGCCTTTGGAGAGTCAAATGTGAGTCATTCAAATATGGCAGCAATGAATATGTGGGTTTTGGTTTGGTTTTTTGTCATGGAGGTTTTAAAATTATTTTTTATTTGTTCTGTTGCTGTGTTTTCTTTAATGAAGCAAAATTCTAGTTAAAAATGCCAAACCCAACCCACTGTCACTGAGTTTATTCCAACTGCCATCCTTCTCCAGTACTGCAACTACTAAGTATGAACTGACACTCTTTTGGTTGGCAGTAATCATACAACGCACTGTAAAACAAGAGATCCTAATTTGTAACCTCAATTATCATCCTCTGTCTTAAAATGAACTTTTAAAAAAATTTTCTACTTCCTTATCTACAAAATTAGAATACATTGTTTTCAAGAACAAATTCTTTCATTTTCCCTCACCCCGCCCCCACAAAACTGTACAACCTCATGATTAATTCCCCTTCTCCCCACCCATCCTCAACCCTCTGCTTCCAACCTCTCCCACCCCTCTTGGATCCTCATACTCTTTCTACAATAATGGTTTTATACAATATTTATCCTTGTGGGACTGAGTTAGTTCACTCAGCATAATGTTCTCCAGTCCCTCCCAAGTTAAGTAATAATTTACAAAATCATTGCTCCTGTAAGCTGCATAGTATTCCATTGTGTGAATATACCATAATTTCTCAATCTCTTTGTTTGTGGTTGGACATTATTCACCATTGCAAGAACATGGAAACACCCCAATTGGCCAACCAAAACAAACATTTTAATGAACAAATGAGTATTGTTATTGTAAAGAAATGAAAGGAACAAACTTTCATGTCCCACAATTCCTGGTTATACTGAGTCTTTATTAGGAATTAAAATACTTATTTAAACACATGTACTGATTCTGTTGAACCTAATAGAATAAGAATTTGGCTCTGCTCTTACACTGGACCCCATTCTACCTCCCAGCCAAATCAATTCCCTGTAGAAAGGCAGTTGTGTTACCCAATTTAACTGATTTTTACATGGACCTGTTATAAAACCGAACAAGACTAATGTTCTGGCTCTGAATGGTAATTATTTCCCAAGGACAAAAGTTCCTCTGAAACTTTTCATAGTCTATTATGGGTTGTGATAGCCACTCTTGGCAATATACAAGATGGTCCCTGGTGGAGAACTGAGCATTAAAAAAATAATAATAATAATTTTTTGTTCTCTAAAGGCTTAAATCACTTGAAATCTTTCCACCTCCAGAAAGGAGCATATAGCTTATCAGTTTATGGGCAACTAAAATATCATTAGTTTTTACAATAGTCATCACTCTCAGTAAAAACAAACAAACAAACAACCTCAAATGACAGAAAGAATGAAAAAAGATTTTATTTCATTCTAAATGTTTTATGACATGATTTTGAATTACTTTACTGACACTCGTTCTTCACTGTGAGAGTCCCTTCCTGTTCCATCATTCGTAGTATTGCAGAAAATGAAGAACCCAGTCAGTCATCCAGAAAATGCCAGGCACCTCTGATAGAGCTCTAAGGCAACTGAGGTGCAATTTCTCAATTACTCACCTTATAGGATTCTTGTTGTCTCCTATTGTGTCCTCTTGTTGTCTCCTACTGCTATCCCAGTCCAGGCCTTCAATTTCTCCTGAGGTTTATCTTAGAAGAAAGCATAAGGGTCCACTGCTATTCTTAACTAGAACAAAACATCCTTCCCTCTGAAGAAATAACTAGCTGGGAAAGAAGACTCAGTCATGCATTACTGTTCTGTGTCAATGAGAGAAGTACTTCATGGGGAGGTGATATCTTTGAAAGATTACTTTCTAGCCATTATTTGTTCACAGTTGAGAATCACACATACTCATTTTCAAGTTACAGCAAAGTTGTAGCTATAAATTATAAAGTATAACCGTAAGCAACAATCAACCAAATAGTTTGCTAAAGAAAAATTGCCTCATTTCATTCACCAACCAAATCTTTTCCTGTGTGGAGATCAAATGTCACACATATTTAGAAAGTCTGCTTGTGTTTGAGCTTAAATTCATACACTGTGTATCAAGCGTTTAATTTTACCTAAATAATGCATCTCCACTTGATTACATGTATGTGTGTGTGTTTTATAACCCAGCAGTCCCGACGCACCTGGAAAAAAATTAGTCTTCTTCAGCTCTACTGCCTGGCTTCTTAAGATATGCATATAGTGTAGTTGCCATTCCTTATACAAATGAAAAAATTTCCTATGCTTAGGCACTAAATTAAAACTATAATAAACTTTTCCTTAGCACTCTTAGCTTTAACTTGCCTGTGTGATTTTTAAATTGCTGGTACTTTTATCTGGAACACTCCTTCTGCCATGCTCTGCCAATCAATCTCATTTCTTAAAAGCAAACTACAGAGCTTTGCCTTTGAATGACCTGTCCTAGTTCCATACTGCTACCTTCCTCTGCAGAACTAATGGGCCACTGTAGTGTTTTTCCTTTTACCACATGTCTGCTAGTTTGTCATGCTATGATGGCTTTCCTATTGTATAGTCACTTGTGCATGATAAGTAGGTTTTACAGTAGTTTCCAGACTAAGACAGACTAGGAAGCAGGTTCGACACTCACTTCTGATATAATGAAAGCCCCCAAAATGACAGCAGAACATAATCTAATAGAGAGACAGAGGTTCTCATGTTAGTATGCTGTAGAAATACAACTCGGGAAGAGCTGACTCCTCAACATAAAATCTACCTTAATGACATGAAAAAAGTAAAGCTTTCAGCCAATAAAGGATCTTAATTTGCTAATGTGGCACAACTGAAATTGAGGAGAAAGAGCTGTGAACAGCCATTAAAAATTGGTAGGGGAATATACAAAGTAATTGGAAATTGTCAAAAGTGAAATGGAACTCTTGAAGATTGATACCCTAGGGATTAGTGAACTGAAATGCACTGGTTTGGGCCATTTTGAACAGACAATCATGTGATCTACTATGCCAAGAATGACAAACTGAAGAGAAATGGTGTCACATTCATCATCAAAAAGAACATTTAAGCTCTATCCTAAATTATAACACTGTCAGTGATAGAATAATATCCATATGCATATAAGACCTTCTGCTAATATGGCCATTATTCAAAACTACAAGCCAGTCACTAAAGTAAAAAATGAAGAAACAGAATTTCTACCAACTTCTGAAGTCTGACATTGATCAAACATGCAATCAGGATGTATTATTAATGACGGAAGATTAGAAACAGTGAAGCATTGGTAGTAAAAACACATAAGCTTGATGACTAAAACTAGTCAAACAATCATATGTTAGAATTTTATATGTCTTCTTCCCTGAAAATATCATTTTAAAATGCAGATAAAGGGTGACCATACATATGCATAGAGTGCACCTGACAGAGAGCATAGAGAAGAGAGTCTGAAACTTTCTCTAGGAGGTGAAGCTAAGGTAAAAGGAAGAAATGATGATGTGAGAGAGCTGAACAAAATTTTCTAAAATAGAAGGAAGATGATAAAGGAAGAAAACAAAACAAATGAGTTTTAAAAGCAGCTAGAGAAGACAAAACAAATCCCAAGAGATAATCTGGTTTACAGAATATATCTTATGCAGAGGTTAAATTTTCTGTTGATTCATGTACTTAAAAGAAACACTCAAGATTTAATATTTATTTCATTTTGAGCTGCTATAGTTAGGTGATGTTGAGTTGACTACACCTCCTAGAGACCCCTATAAACACAGCTCTGAACCTTGCCCCCATCCCGCGCCCTTCACAAGGTCTCCTCCAAGCTTGAGGCCGTTGTTACAGTCACTGTGTCAATCCGTTTTACTGAAGGTCTTCCTCTCCTTCTCTGACCCTCCACCTTTCCAGCTAACGTCTTTTTCTAAGGACTGGCCCCTCCTCACAGCACACCTGAAGATTGGGTACCTGGTGGATTCAAACAGTTGATCTTTCAGTTAGCAAGTAAGCACTTAATCATTTCATGAAACAGTTTCATTATCAGTTAAGAATGCAAAACATTACTTCTCATGGCAGTATATACATCAGATATTGTTTAATTTTGTGTTTTCCTTGTCTTTGTTCAAACTAAATTTCATGGTAATTTTTTGGAAATTTATCCTTTTGCAAATGGTAGTTATCTCACTGAATTAAAATTAAAGTACAACTTCTTTTTCTTACTTCTTCCATCTTATTAAACTATGGAGTAATATGTTACACATAGACAAGTAAAGCAAAACAAATACTCTGCCTTCTTGAAACCTTTTAGTAGATTTCCAGCTTCTGGTCTTATACTATGTTTTGTTGCTGTTGTCCTTGAGTTGGAATCAGCCCAAGTAGACCCACTAGTGGGTTTTTAGGAACAGTTAATCACACAGGAGGAGACTGACCATACTTCTCCCAGCAGCAGGCAGATTTGAGGCTGTGAGCCTTCAGGATTGCAGTGCAGCTTCTTACCACTAAGCCACCAGAGACTCTGAAAAGTTTATTTTCTTCCCCTCATTTGAGAACACAGAAAAGATGAAATAATCCCATTCAAATACCAAGAAATACTACCGCTCACAGAGTGGTTTTATGAATCAATTAAATTTTGTTTTGTGTATTTGCACTTTTAAAAGAAGCACTCCAAATTCAATTCTTATTTTCTTTCACATGTCACTTATCTAACCAGTGAAAATTTGGACACATCTGAAGACTATGTTAGAATACAGTTACATTAATGGCAAAGCTACCAAACTTTTTCTGTTTGCCATTTGCAATAGTTGTATTAAATGGACACATATTTTACGTTCTCCAATGAGTAACAAAATTTATCTAGTGGGTTTCCTGTGTGTGACAGGTGTTCTAATTAATTTAAAATAACTCTACATTTTCAGCTATTTTATACTGTTGCAATAAATATATTTAAATGTAATGGTCTCTGAAAACTTTACTTATTTTACAAGCTCTCATTCTTTTTTTTTTAAAGGGAAGCAATTATACATTCACCTTTAAGGAAAGCATTTTTCAGAAATGTTATACATTTGTACTAAAGAGGGCAGTGCTTCCTTTCAGAAAGAGAAGTTCTCTCTCTCTCTCATACACACACACACACACACACACACACACACACACACACACACACACTTTTTGTTTTAAATAGAAAGGCTTATGGAAGGAAATGAATGAAGTGTAGGAAGTTGAGGCTAGTTACACACCTGCCTGGGGCATAAGAGAATACAATAAAGGTCTGAAGAGGAAGAATGCACATACTCTTGGGAGTATTATTGTTGATTCTCTGCCTTCATACAGCCTGTGAGTTGTGGATGGAAAATTTGAAAATACTAACAAAGCTTCAAGATACACTACTAGCCTGGGAGATGAAATAATGAGAGGCTTTTTGGTTTGCTTTGCTTTGTTTCTTTGTCTCTAGTGGGTTTCCCTTGAGAATTTAAGAATAACATTTAAAATCTATTCTTTTATTTTCACACAGGTATCAACAGTCAATCAAAGGAGAAAGATGACCAGCAGGTTAAGCAAAATCCTCCAATCTTGAAGATTCAGGAAGGAGACATGTCCATTTTGAGCTGTGATTACAATAATAATTTGTTTGATTACTTTTTATGGTACAAACAATACCCTACTAAAGGCCCCACATTACTGATAACTGTCCGTTCATTTACGGGTAATGATGAAGAAGGAAGATTCACAGTCTTCCTCAACAAAACTGCCAAACACCTCTCTCTGCACATCGCATCTTCCCAGCCTGGAGACTCAGCCACCTACTTCTGTGCAGCAAGTGCACAGTGCTCTGCAGGCACCTGCAGCCTGTACCCAAACCTGCAGCTGGAGTCCAAACCAACCCATGGTTTGGGGTCAGTGACTGGCAGCCCTTATACTTGCTTCCATTTACACACAGCAGTATTTGAGGGTGTGCTTTAAAGTAAGTGAGGCCAAGTTGATTAATGGAAAGCTGATACACAGCAACCTCCACAGATGAATGAGGAAGGTTCTCTGAGCTTTAGAGTGTCAAAGTGTCTAATCCAAGGAGTCTAACTCCTTTGGACTTAGAGCAAGAAGTTGTTTATTTAGCAAAGCAAACCCCCACCAGATCCTAAAAGTGAAGATACTGCTTTTTCCTGTAGTTTCAGAAAGAAGTAACGTACAGGATGCTATTCCCCAGAGTGTTGACTGTTCTCTCCACCCTCTGACTTCTGCAAAATCACAATTAGAAGATGGAAAAATACAAGAAAAATGAAGAGAGGTGAGGGAAAAGGAAGAGCAAATGAAGAAAAATTAGTAATAATAAATGTAACAATTACTAAATATACTGAACATTTATGATACAATTCATTTTACATATGTTATATTATCTAATCTGCCCAATAACTCTCTTGACACAGATATTAAAATAACCCATATTTATGAAGATAAAATTGACTGATGGATTGTGCAATTTGCAGTGGGCCACTAGTTTATTGACTATGAAAAATATGGTTCATGCTTCAAGTACCTGACCATGGCAATCATGTTTTTGTCCCATCAAAGATGTTGCTGTCTTCCTGCAGAAACAACTGATTAGACATATATATATATATTAGAAAAGTTTTCAATTTTTCTCCTTTTTGCTCATGTTTATCTATGCATGCCCAGAGGGGAATCTCACTATACCTGACATTCTATTAAAATGTGAAACTATAGTTTTATTTGTATATATCTCATAGAGGAGCTCTGGTGGTATAGTCTATAGCAAGTTGTGCTGTTAACCCAATGTTGTGTGTATCCAGTGGTTTGAAATCATCAATGGCTCCTTAGGAGAGAGACTTCAGGATTTATAGTCACAGAAATCCACTGGAGCATTCTTTATTGTAAGAACACACTTATTCAAAGTGAGCTTGAGTTTTTAGTTTATTGTGCTTTCAAGGATCCCTAGAAGCACCGTGGTCAAATGCTGGCTGTTAAAGTTAACAGAAAGTGAAGAAGACTTGTAGTACTTACTGAAGAAGAGAAAAGATTACAGCCTTCCATACAAGCCACACCTCAACAACAAGATAACCAAAAAATCCTAAACATTGTCCAGCTCTGATGCATAGCAAGTAATTGCAAAGACTATGATGTTAGATGGATCTTAGCTGAGAGCAGAGAATACCAGAACAATGTCTATCTGTGTTTGATTGACTATGCAAAGGCATTTGACTGTGTGGATCATAACAAACTATGGCTGACTGGGAGAAGAACGGGAATCCCAGAACACTTGATCGTTCTAATGCAAAACCTATACTTGGACTAGGAGGCAGTCATCAGAACAGAGCAAGGGAACACTGCATGGTTCAAAACTGGGAAGGGCGTACGCCAGGGATGCATCCTATCTCCATACTTTTTCAACCTATATGCAGAACAGATTATCCGGGAGGCTGGGCTCTATGAGGAGAAATGTGGGGTCAAGACATTGTCAACATTATGATAGATGGAGAAAAGACTGAAGTTGTCAGTGATTACATTTTGCTTGAATCCACAATCAACACACATATACAGCAGCCACAAACAAACAAACAAACAAAAAGTGTTGCCTTAGGCGAATCTGTTGTACTAAGGTGCACCTGAGCAAAGCCAAGATCCATCTAACATCAGCTACAATATCTCTAGTACCACGACCCCTTCTAAACCCAGTCTGGACTTCTGGTAGTTCTCTGTTGATGTGCTGTTCCAGTCGTTTTTGGATAATCTTCAGTAAAATCTTGCTTGCATGTGAAATCAGTGAGATTGTTCTGTAGTTTCCACACTCTGTTGGGTCACCTTTCTTTGGGATAAGAACAAATAACAATCTCTTCCAGTTAGTTGGCCAAGTGGTTGTTCTCCAGATTTCTTGGCACAACTTGGTGAGCATGTCCAGGGCAGCATCTGTTAACTGAAATATGTCAATCGGTACACCATCTATTCCTGGAGCCTTATTTTTTGCCATTTCCTTCAAAGCAGCCTGAACTTTTTCTTTCATCACCATAGGCTCTTGCTCATATGTTGTTTCATGAAATTCTTCTGTGTCTTCCAATTCTTTTTGATACAGTGACTCAGTATATTCCTTCCATCTTCTTTTAATACTTCCTGGATCATTTAACATTCTGCTGAAAGCATCCTTGATTATAGAAAACCTATAATCCTAGCAGTATAGAGAGGTAAAATTAAATGTTATGACAAATGCATATAGCAGACTGGGATGGGACTCAAGTTCCCAACATTTGTATTTTGAAATGTCCATTGTTGAAATCTGGAAGCCTTAAATCTTTAGCTTATGATTTCATGTGTGGAGAAACATCAAGGGTTGACAGGGACAATATTTAGATGCTTAACTTAAGAAATAAATAAGAACATTTTGGGAAATTAGATACAGTTATTTGGGACGGCTTTATATATCCTCTGTTCCTTGAGTGTTTGAACAATGTTCACTTAATAAGGCATCTGCATTCAGTGCTTGGCATATTGACATGATTAAACTTTCTATAGTTTCTATAGAAACTTATTACAAAGTATATGACAAAGAATGTGCTGGTCAAATACCTGAAATTCATTACATTTCAAAACGGTTGATTTTAGAAGTTTCAGGGACTTCAGGAACTGGCTTCCTCATAAACATGCCCTAGTAATCTAGTGCTGCCAAAACAGAAATACAAATGTATGACTTCAACAGAAGTTTCTTTTATCACACATTAGAAATCTGAACTTTTAAATTCAGGGTGCTGGCTCTTGGGAAAGTCTTTGTCTTTCTGTTGGTTCTGGAGGGAGGACTTTGTCTCTTCAGTTTCTGTGATCTGGTTGCTTGAAACTCTCCACCTGGCTTAGCATTTATCTTTCTCCATCATTGCTTGTGTAATCTCTTATGTTTTGTGGGAGAATAATTTAAAACAATGTACACTAATCCTGCCTTATCAACATAACAAAGACAACACTTTCTCAAGTGGCATTATAACCACAGGCATGAAATAAGGATTGACAACAGATATTTTGATGGACAAAATTCAAGCCATGACATGGCTTATAGATATTTAAATGTGAAGGAAAAAGCATCTCTCATTCTCTAACATCTCAGGAGAGGCTTAGGGATGTGAAGGAAATTTATGAGCTTAATTCTACTTAGTTTGCTGATTGAGGTGGTATTACTGATATTAAACCAGTTATTGTTGCCACATACCATAAAGTTGACCATAATTTATAGGAAATCTATGAAGGGACTTAAAACTACAATTCATTATCCTGTAGCAAAGAGAGATAATCCTGAATGTACCAAAGAAATGAGACACCAAATGTCATGAACTAGATGTCAACAAAGTAGAAAAAAATAAGGAAGCAAGGGAGAAAATAGTTTGATGAGTAACATCATCTGCAGGTTTATCCATCGAAGATTTACTAAATCAGGACAAAATTAAATTTAGTCTATTAAAAAAGCTTATTATTGACACCAGTTAAAAAGATACGCTGCAGGAGAAGGATGGGCAATCTCCTCCCATTCGATTATTGCCTCTGGAAACTCACTGGCGGGTTACCTATGGGTTGCTTCTGACACAACGGTACAACACAACACAACACCAAAAGAAATAGAATAGTAACAAAAAATATTAGCAATTTTTATCCTGAGAAAGTTTCTTGTGCATCAGGGCATTGCAGTGAGAATATGACATTAATTCAATTATTACACAAATAAAATTTTTTAAAAAGATATGTTTGTTTGTTCCTACCAGAGATCAATGTATATTTGGCCAAGAAAGTTTCAGAAGTTCAGATGAATAATTCTAGTAGTCGCTCTGAGCTACCTCTGCACTGTTTCTAATTTAAACATAATAATAAAGTAAGAAAAGCAGTTTCTCACCTGGATTTTTTCTAAGACTGAGCCTGGAGTTACCCACTCATAGTAACACATCATTCATTATCTGGGTCTCTTTTAGCACCAGTTGAAGAAGAATTGATATCTTTGGATTGTGGTGAATGAGAAGAATACTTAATATCCCAGAGAAAATCAAAAGAACAAGAAAATTTTCTTGGACAAAGTGCAACCACAGTGCTCCTTAGAGGTAAGAATGGTGAAATTTCATTTCATATACTGCGGTCATGGCGTCAGGGGGGACCAGTCCTTGGAAAGATAACATAGTGGAAAAGGTGAAGGGTTAGAGAAAGAGAGGAAGACTTTTATCAAGATGGATTGACACAGTGGCTATAACAGTGGGCTCGAGCATATTAGACATGGTGAGAGTGGCTCAGGATAGGGCAAGTTTCCATTCTCTTGTTTGTAGGGTTCTTATGAGTTGTCAACTTGATGGCACCTACCAACAACAAACACCAATTCTTTCATACTCGTTTTGTAAGTTCCTCAAATCACATCCTTTTGTATATTTACTCTTTACTCAACAACCTAAAGGACAAATTTATAAGGACAAATTTTCTCAAAATTCTGAAGTTAGCAGCAACACTGCTTACCTCAGAATAGACAAATGGCTTTACCAGTACACTGAAAAATGAAACTTCTCTATTAAACAAACTTTTGCTTACTCGTGTATAGCATATTTAGCAAATTATCCATGGAGAATGTGCTGTATATCTTTATTTTAATCTAGAAGCCTCAAATTCTTACTTAGACACTCATGCTTATGGTAGATCTAAATCTTAATAAAAATTACTGTAAAATAGAAATTTGAAACACAAGCTATGCAGTATAAGTACAAGAAATGCAAAATTTATGACATTATAAATGTCCTGGTTGTGAAAGAAAATACTTTGAAGAAGCAAATACTACTGTTTTTTCTAAAGACAGGAGAGGTTACTAAGCTAGTAGGCTTGGCAACTCTCGATCTGTACACAAGAGGGCAGTACATCATTTCC